CCTTCACTTATGAGCCTTTATCTCCTACCACCCCTATGGCCGCTGCACAGGTTTCACTTCTGCGACAAACCTTGAAAGTATGAAAGATCAAATGCGTGGCGCATCTCAACAAGTAAATTACAGAAGCTTTCGGCTTTGAAGAGATTGCTGCTTCTGCTGCTCCACCTATTCCACTCCGATTCACAGTTCCAGGGACATCCAGCTCCCACTTTGATTTATAACTCTAAGGCAGCGTTCAGAGTTCGCGAAGACAGCGCTTCGATCACCTGCTTTACGCGATCGATGTAGTTGAAAGTCGATCGATCGATCGAGTAGCTTAACCTTAGACCTGCAGGCCCTTTGCTGTTCTTGAGGCAAGGAAAATCAAATAGTGGCGTAAAAAAGTCTTCCAAAGTGATCCGCCAGAATTAGTAAGATTCTTGTTAGAAGTGCTGCGGGGCATTGTATATCGTCTCAGGACTCATGTAACCACGAAGCCTTCCTCCTCCTTCCTTATTTCTTCCTCCTTCCTTCTTTTCCTTCCTTCCCTCTTCCTTTTCCTTCTCCTTCAACTGCTGAGCCAGTAGATGCGATGAGAAAATAATTCTGGATCCTCGCAGCGAGAGCATGTCAGGTTGTCAAGAGCCCTGTAACCCCACTGGATATGGGGTAGTAACAGGTGCCGCCACTGAACTCACGTAGTCCGCGGATCAAGTCCTGCCAACCGGACTTATAACGCTTAGAGGCTGGTTCTTATCAATTCTGTCAGAGGCAATAAACACACTGGAGTAGACATTTGGCTGCCTCGCAATGATAACGGCCAGCTATGCATTTTTCAAGATTTTTCAGTAGATGGCAAATGTGTGGCGCAACTAAAAAAGATCCCGAGTGGTGAGCAATTCTCTAGTTTTTTTTACAGTTGCAAAACCAATCCAGTAATCTCAATATTTCGTTTTCGATTCTAATCGCAACTTAAAAACATGATTGCAATATTTCTGACACTTTTCCTCCACTGCAGCCCAACTAGCAATCAACAGAAATAAAACAATGGTAGAATGCATTGAACGGCACGATAGTGCCTGTTTACACTCAGCGCTGAAGTCGATCGGGGTGTGTCAGCGGGGCGTGGGTTTTGGCGCTGTGGAAGTCCGTTTTCCATCGATCGTTGCAGCTTTGGGCGTCCAAGGAGCAG